GCTGCACTGCCAGAGAATTTCCGTCCATATCCACTCTCCTGAAACCAGAGCACTCTGGATCTGTTGCAATGTGACCGAAAAGGAGGCCAGGGAGGGTTGCTACAGAAGAAGGCATGGATGGAAGCTTTAGGTGGCCTCAGACCAAGAAGGCCACGTCCCTTCCAACTTGGAGATGCCACCCAGGTTCGGAAGATCATGTGCTTTCTCGTTCTCTGGGGCGAACAAGGTGAACAGGGACAAGGAAATTAAAAGTTGGCCGCGATTCCTCCTCTTGGACACACTGAGAAGGTCAGCCCTGCCGTCTCCAGAGAGAAGAGTGCCACCTGCTGAAGGATGGGGAGAAAGCTCGACGGGCAGCTTCTATGATGACCCAGGGTGGGATACCAAAGCAACAAAGTCACAAAAAACAGGGGAAGCCCCTTTAAGCCCTTGAACTTGGTTTCAAAGCTCCAATGATCATTGACTGGAGACAAAATACTCCCCCACAAACAGTTGCGAAAAGGAAGAAACGCCGTTCAAACTCAAAATACATATAAACTATAAATAGAAAAACAAACAAACCAGAAACCACACTAAAGCAATTAAGGAGACAAGGCAAGATGTCCACAACTATCGAAATACACACACTTGGGAAGGACACCAGAACTCAGATAAGAACTGACAGACTAGAAATATTTTCACGCTTTGCTTCCAGCACTGGGCCATGCGCAGTTTGTCCTTTTAAACAGTCCTCACAGCTGCAGCCCATGAAGGGGATCAGGGCCCTTTCCTCTCCCGTAGACCACGCCATTCACATTTGTCCCTTATCCTCTCTTCCCTGCGTGCCCTAGGATGGAGAGGGGGTGGGCCTGGGTCTTCCTCTGAATGGCCCAGCTGGCCTGTGCCCTTCCCCAGTTTCCTCCACAACCTCAGAGCCACACTCCCACTCCCTGTTGGATGTTCCTCCTCTCCCTTGGAGTCAGGCTCCAACAGGGGCACGACAGCTTCCCTGCCACTCTCCTGCCTCCAATTCAGGGTTGGAAGGGACCTTGGAGGTCTTCTAGTCCAGGCCCCATTCCCCCTGATGAAGGAGAAAACTTTATGAGGAATCTTGGAAAACCTTGGAAAAATTACTAGATCCCCTTCCCTCCCCACCGATGAGCCGCGGGACCTCACCTGTCTAAGGATTTCTTTGGGAAAGTGAAAGGGCCCGTGGAGATCTTCTCAATGTAGCTCAGAGGGATCCTCTGGAGCTCCAGGCATTTGAGCATGATGAAGTCGTATTTGCACACCAAAAGGGCAGCGTTGGTGATCACCACAATCCGCTCCTTCTCGATGTTCCAGTGATCGATCCTGGGAGAAAGCACAGAGAGGACAAATAACAAGAAGACAACTCTGAGCACTCCAGATCCCCAATCTCTCTGCCCGGAGAGAAACCAAATTTAGTACATACCTGTAGGACATAGAATAACGGGAAAGAAAGAGTGCAGAGAAGAGCAACCAGGATGATTAGGGGACTGGAGGCTAAAACATACGATGGACGGTTGCAGGAACTGGGAATGGCTGGTTTAGGGAAGAGAAGGACCAGGGGAGACAGGAGAGCATCTTCCAATATTTGAGGGGCTGCCACAGAGAGGAGGAAGGGGTCAAGCTATTCTCCAAGGCCAGACAAGGAACAATGGATGGAAACTGAACCAGGAGAGATTCAACCTGGAAATGAGGAGAAACTTTCTGACAGAACAATGAACCAAAGGAACAGAAGTTGCCCTCGGAGGTTGTGGGAGCGCCATCACTGGAGGCTTCTAAGAAGAGACTGGGCTGCCCTCTGTCAGAAATGGTGTAGGGTCTCCGGCTTGGGTGAGGGGTTGGACTAGATGACCTCCGAGGTCCCTTCCAACACTGTTAACCTGTTAAACAGAGTAGAAAGGGACTCCGGGTGTCTATTACTCAGGGAATGCATGGATGCCAACATAATCCAATGCCAGGGAATTTAAGCCTGGCCCTCTGACAAATCAGCCATCGATAGACACGTAGAAACGAACGACATCTGTAGACTCTGCAAAAGGGACAATCAACCAGCCCAAAAGAGAACCGAAAGTCCCCAGCACCTCTCCACCAGTAATCAGTGCCCAGATCAGATACGGATTTACAGAGTTGGAAGGGACCTTGTAGGTCATCTAGTCCAACCCTCCCTCCCCCAAGCAAACCCTACACCGTTTTTGACACATGGCTTAGATTCATTGGCCTAGATTCACTCCAGGGTTAACTGCAGACCAACAATCAAGTCAACAACACCCCAATCCAGAAGCTGCCAAAGAGCCATCAGTAAAAAACACCCCACCCAAAGAATCTCTAAGACCAGCCCCTACCCAAACAGACAGACAAGTCACCAGAATATCAACCAGGGGTCCCCAAACTTGCCAACTTTAAGACTTGTCGCAGTTGAAGTCCACAAGTCTTAAAGTTGCCAAGTTTGGAGATCTCTGATATAAATGGACAGCAAAGAGCACACCTTACTAGCATGGATGAGGTTCCCTAGTTGGGTCATGAAACGTCCTGCAAGAAAACAAGCAAGCTCAGACAGCACCAAGGACCCAACTATCTTCCCCTTCCTTCCTTCCTTCCTTCCTTCCTTCCTTCCTTCCTTCCTTCCTTCCTTCCTTCCTTCCTTCCTTCACTGATGGTGTTACCTAGTTGGGTCATGAAACGTCTGCAAGAAAACAAGGAAGCTCAGACAGCACCAAGGACCCCGCCCCCTTCACATAACCCAATGCATCTCAAGTCAGATAAGTGATACACTCAGGTTTCACTGCATCCTGGGAATTAAGCCCAGGGACTGATGCAGTCCACAAAGTCAACATGTCAATTGCAAGGATGGAACTGAAACTCCACCTAATTTTACATGCCTGGCACCACGTGTCATGCAGATTAAAAAACCAGGGTGGAGCTTCAATTGAATACAGAATAACAGAGTAGCAAAGTCGGGAGGGACCTTGGAGGTCTTCTAGTCCAGCCCCCTGCTCAAGCAGGAGACCCCAGACCACATCAGACAAATTGCTGTTCAATCTCTTCTTGAAAACCTCCAGTGAGGGAGCAGCCACAACTTCTGGTGGCAAGCCGTTCCACTGGCGAATTGTCCTCATCCTTAGGAAGCTTCTCCTTAATTCCAGGTTCCTTCTCTCTCCTGGATGAGTTTCCATCCATTGCACAATCCTTGTCGGAGTCCAGAAATAAGGAAGGATGTGGGAATTGGCATTTTTTTTCCTTATAACAGAACAACCCAGTTGGAAGAACTTCTAGTTCAAAAATTATTTTGAGTTTATCTACGGCCGAGCAGGGTTTTCCAATCTCAGCAACGTTAAGCCATGTGGACTTCAACTCCCAGAATTCCCCAGCTCGCACGGGGGATTCTGGGAGTTGAAGTCCTCCCGTCTTAAAAGGGGCTGAGGTTGCCCCCAAAGCAGGAAGTGCAAAGGAAACAGAGCTAGCCTGCAGTTCACTTTGCATCCTTGAGGTGGCAGTGCAGGAAAATAAATCTCTCTCTCTCTACAGACTGCAAGAAATCTTATTCAAGAAATTCTCTCCTGTTTTATATATAAATAATGTTTGAGCTTGCAGGAACTGACAGTTAAATGATTTCTGCAAAGTAAACCGAAGGGACTATTTCCGGCAGCCCCTACAGGAGGCAAACGTTGAAATTCAATTTTTTAAAAAATTTCCTACTGAGTGTAAGGTGGTGATTAGGGTGCAAGCTGTGATTTTATTCATCGCAGCGACAGCAACAACAGCAACAAACAGAGATCCCCCCAAGAAGGCCGAATTTAATTTTAGAGTACAGTAGAGAATCGGGAAGAGACCCATAAAAAAGAAGAGCAGGAAGGAAGACTCTAAAGCAGGCATTAAATAAATCACCTTTTGAGGTCGGTAAAATGAGGACTCAGATTGTTGGGGGCAAGAGGCTGACTCTGTAAACTGTTTAGAGAGGGCTGGGAAGCCTTGTGAAGCGGCATATAAGTCTAAGGCTTCCTTCCTTCCTTCCTTCCTTCTTTCTTTCCTTCCTTCCTTCCTTCCTTCTCTCCTTTGCCCTCATTCCTTCCCTTTATCCCTCTTCCTTCCTTCCTTCCTTCCTTCCTTCCTTCCTTCCTTCCTTCCTTCCTTCTCTCCCTTGCCCTCATTCCTTCCCTTTATCCCTCTTCCTCCTTCCTTCCTACTTCGGCTGCCTGCCAGCTGCCTGCAATTTGGCAGTTCAAATCCCACCAGGCTCAAGGCTGACATAGCCTCCCGTCCTTCCGAGGTGGATAAAACGAGGACCCAGATTGCTGGGGGGCAAGAGGCTGACTCTGTAAACCGCTAAAGAGAGGGGCTGTCAAAGCCCCATGAAGCGGTATATAAGTCTTAAGGGCTATTGCTATTGCTAACTTCTGCCAAAAATTGGCCTGTAGCAAAGAGTGGACTGGATTCATTTTACAACCCTCGCAGAAAAGGTCACCAAATGATCCTGGGTTTACCCTTTACCTCTATCATGAATTATGTCCATCATTGCCACTTATGGCCGTCACATGAGGCCCACCTGCACGGGGCGTGAACAAGTCTGTGGTTGCAGAGAAGCACAAATAACTACAAGACCTGCGTAGAGCTTACTCGGTGAGGAGCCAGAAGCTATGGGCCGCTTCTCCCTTGTTGGCTGCCAGATAAGCCTTGAGGTCCTCCATGGCTTGCTCGAACGCTCCTGGCTGAAACGGAGAGGAGGAAGAGGGAGATGGTCAACGCCACAGTGTGATTTTGGATCCCCCCTACGTCCCCTCCGCTGTCCCTCCAGCCTCCCAGGTGTTCCCACCTGTCTCTAGCCACCTGCCGTGGAGGAGTGAACGTCACCGAGGAGAAAAGTTGAATCTCCAGGCTTCGGTCTCTGGCGAAGGGGGCCGGTCTCTCACTGATGAGGAGAGAAGCCAGGTGTGGGATGCTACCGGTTCGGACCGGTTCTATAGAACCGGTTGTTATGATTCTCTGCGGTTCGGCGAACCGGCAAATCCTTATCCCGCCTGCGTGACATCGCTGACTGCGTTCTCCCGCACCTACTCGCTCCTTAAGCTGTTTCTTTTTTTTCCTCCCAACGATCAGCTGTTCCAATGATCAGCTATGCTGGGATCCCTCTCGCTGTCTTACTGCTTCAAGTACTACTTACTTACTTTCAAAAAAAAATGGTGTGTGTGTGTGTGCGTGTGCGTGCGCTGCAAAATAAGAAAAGAAACCACACCCACTCAGTCACACCTACCTAGCCATGCCCACAGAACCAGTTGTTAAAAAAATTGGAATCCCATCCCTGAGAGAAGCCAAGAGTCCATGATGGACACACCCCATTCCTGC